TTTAATTTAATAAAAAGAATTTCACGTGTTTTGATGAATTTTTCAGAAAAAAGTTATATAAAGTAATATAAATTTTGTTTCTCAAGTAAATGTATCTTGATTTAAGAATGTTTACTGTAGATATCTGTACTGGAAAACAAGACAAGTACTGAGGAAGAAAATCATTTTTGAAGTGTGCTATTGTTTAATCTTATGATTTTGTGGTTTTAAGGGATATTTGTCTTCTAGAGTTAGATGAGAGAGAATGTCTGCTTTTCAAGGTTATTAACATCACAAGATGATGATGTGAAGCAGTCGTTTTTTTTTATTCAGTAATCTGATAAAATAACACTTGTTGGATTTATGCAGGTCATGGCTTTTCTGATGTGTTGGAAGAATCTAACAATTTGTTTATATCAAAAGGGAAGAAATGTGGATCTGCTGGAGAGATTTTGAATGGCCAGTTCGAGTACACAGGCGTGTCATTTGGAGATTCGGCTACAGCCGTCTGTCAAGAAGGGTGAGATACAGCAGCGATTATAATACAAGTGCATTCTCACTTCTGTTTTTAGATGTAGAGGAGTTTGTTTCTTCACCAGATTTGGAGAAATGTAGTATTCCATCACTTGCTCACCAATGGATCCTCTGCAGTGAATGGGTGCCGTCAGAATGAGAGTCCAAACAGCTGATAAAAACATCACAATAATTCACAAGTAATCCACACCACTCCAGTCCATCAGTTAACATCTTGAGAAGTCAAAAGCTGTGTCTTAATGATGGATTTGTTTCTTACAAACATATTTTTACTATATTAATTGATGGACTGGAGTTGTTTGGTTTGGGGAACCAAAATGGTTCTTCTATGGCATCACCGTGAAACCCATTTTTAAAAATGCCAAAAGCCAAGATACTGTCATGTAATCAGACATTCATCCATCTTTTTTATTTTTTAATGGCTCTCGTTAGGTATGAGCTGATCGGCCCAAAAGTGCAGATCTGCAGGGATGGAGGCTGGGACGGAAGGAGCCCTGTGTGTGAACGTATGACTGTTTTCTGAGATTTTGTTCATGTTTTTGTTAATGTTGTATAGCTTGAGTTCCAATATTGCAAACCAAATGCCTATGGATTTAGCTTGCTACTGTACACAGACACTACATCTGTCTCATAGATGGATGATATATGTGTGTTTTGCAGCTGTGCACTGTCCTCCACCTCCAGAGGTCAAGGGCGCTGAGATGTTTGACCCCATATATGACCATGTTCCCTTCGGTCACGTGTTGTCCTATCACTGCCGTACTGGAGCTCTGATCGGTGAGAGAGATATTTACTGCACCAAGAGCGGCACCTGGAGCGCTCCTCCTCCTGAGTGCAAAGGTACACATATAAAGAGTGGTCATTGAATATTGACCATAAGACTATATAGTTGTGTATTTCAAGATATTTTAGGTTTTTAGGTAGGGAAAGATAGGTTAAAACTATCTACTAACTATAACTAGTTTCTATTCTGCACAATGTTGATTTGGTGGCCATATATTCATAAAGGGCTCATCGTTTTTTTAACTCTCTGGAGAAATTTTATTTGTTTAATTTGTAATCTTTTTTTTTTTTTTACTGTCTATTGACTTTATGTATTTACTTTGTATTTTTTTTTATTTTATGTATTTTTTGATTTTTATTTGTTATTTTTGTATTTTATATATTTATTTTATTTACTTATTCCTTTTTATTGATTTTATTTATCTGCCTTTTATTTATTTTATTAACTTTTTTTTTTAAAATTTACTTATTTACTTTATTCACAGTTTATTTACTTTTATATTTCTCTAAAATATAATACATAGATAGAAAAATGCCTAATATTGGCAACAAAAACCAATTATATATATATATGTATGTGTGTGTGTATTTGTGTATATACAATCAAATATTTCTGTGGTCCCTTTATCACAAAATTTACATTAGTATGTTCTCTCAAATTAATTGTCAGACATGAATGCATAAATGAATTGACACTATTTGTCGTGCTTTTCAGGCACTTTCTGTCCTAACCCACATGTGCCTGGTGGATCAAGAATGAGGGGTTTTAGGGCGGTCTATAAATTCGGGAACACCGTGACAGTCGCCTGCAATCCTGGTTTAAGGCTTATGGGAGAGAGTTTTGTCACCTGTGGCCCAGATGGGGAATGGATTCCAAAACTTCCAGAATGTGTGTAGAAATCTGCACATGGAGCGATGAAACAAACAAATATTCAACTGAAAGAAACAATACAGCTAGCTGTCGCAAAGTCATAATTAAGCTTATTTCTGTTCACTGTATTTCATTAAAATGAGCAGAACACTATTTAGTATGTACTCCGACTATTTATTGTTGCAAAAGTAGCACTCTGATTTTTTTTTTTTTTAACAATTAATATTTAATATTTATATATTTTCTGTTACTCTACAGCATTATGGATACTATTTTTATAGCTTGTTTTCGTTTATATATATATATGTATATATATATATATATATATATATATGAAAAAGACAAAGAACATTCAGTGTAAAAAAAAACAACAACAACGAGAATGAGACCAGAAAAACTTGGTTATTTAATTTGCACAAAATTGGCAGTAAGCAACTAGCCTAATGTTACCAAAAGAAAAAGAAAAAAAAAATCCATATATACTGTATGGCTACTTCTGTGATAAAGTGTGCTTTACCCTAAACTCTTAAAATAAAAATGGAAAGTGGTTAGCGTTTAAATGTTTCAGTATTTCAATCTCGTTAAAAAATATATGTGTTTAGGGCAAGGGTGTAACTTTGGTTTGAGAAGTGGGGGGGACACAAAATGGGGGAAAATGTTTTCGATTTGAATCCCATTTCCTGCATGTACATACATTTAGGGACTATGGTGATACAAAATCCAGGAAATAATTAGAAGTATTTAACTAACAACAGTCTATTACCTAGCAACAGTGTATGTTAACGTTAGCTCAGTCTACGTAGGCTAACATTAACAGGTGTAGACAGAAACAAACGTACGGTGGCCGAGAAGTGCTAAACAAATCACAATTCTGAAATCACTGAGGCATTTTCTACAAAAACTTATTTTGAGGTATGAAAGAACTGTTTTAATGCTTAATCTTATGTAATTGAGTTGTTGATTTGATATTAATATTAATGACATGCGAAGTGATTGTATACAATCCACGGAAGAAAGTCGGCCATAGTTTATGACAGAAAGGTGATGTTATTTTCGGGCGATCTATTCTTAATATATTAGTAAAAAAAGATGTATTCATTTATGTCCTTAATATTTTACTCTCGCAACTACTTTATGAATTATTTTTATGAATATCCTTGAGGCTATGCTATTCTGTTTAGCTAATCACGGTTGATGAGATTGCAGGCGAGTACACTGCTGTGCCTATAACAACGACCTTGTAAAATGTACAATTATAAATCAATATAAATATATTTTATTGTCATATTTAATATTAGTATGACAAATATTAACATACACTTTGGTCATTTTTCTCAGGTATATAAATCTGGATAAAAAGATTAACGCCAAAATAAAATATTCTGAAATAATAAAGGGATAAGTTTAGCTATTGGTGACAGTACTCTACAGCATTGTGGATACTTGTATTATTTACTATTATTATTATTATTTACCTTTATTTGAATCTTATTTTTTGCTTCTGTGTTTCGGTGACTTTTTTTCTGTATACATGTAAAGAAATCAAAATAGACAACTTGTAAGAACACCAATTTCTTTCATTTCAAAAGACAATACAAAATCCAGACGTTTTTCAGATGAGCATAAACAAATTTCAAGTGCAAATACCATTTCCCATTCCATGAAACATTGTGGCAAAGTAATTTTTTCTCTAACAAAAAAGACACTTTGAAAAAGAAAAATGGGGCAAAGATGGAAAAAAAAAAACAGACCAATAATAATAAAACAGCAACATGGATTGATCAAAACACTTAACATTGTTTGAAATGGGTTTGGTAGAGCAAAGACAAAGGGGAAATGATCAAAATAAAGCAGCAGTCACAGACCGCCAATGACATCGACTAGTTAAGAGTAGCTAATACGCTGCATTTCTTTTAGTGAACATTCAACAAAACATTGACTACTTTGCCACAAACTTTTCATTTCATGGCAATTGTGGCTATTTCACATATGACCCATCCCTTTTTTCACGGAAATATCCAACTTGCAGTGCTGCAACACATGACATGTTTAGTAGTAGACGGTGAGTTTTGGTTTCTGCGAGTGGGGCAATATTGACATTTCACTACTTCTTGGCTTAATCCAAGCTTTTTCTTTTATATCATATTTATACATTTAAACAATTATATTAGTGACCCATGTAATAGCTGACAAATGTACAAAATACCTAAAAAGTCAATAACTGCTTCATAAAATGACCTTTGCAAATGTCACACACATTCCATTCTCTTTAGTTCTGGATTCTATGATATAGTCTTCAAGGTTAACATTTTCGGTCCATAACATAAAAATAAAATTGGGTGGGACAACCAAGTGTGTCTGTAGATGGATTAACTTTAATTAAAAGAGGTTTGGCTTAAACTCAAAGGTTACTGTTAAATGCATTTGACCCCATGTGGAGCCAGCGAAGTCAATACCACAATTTTCTTTTTTTTTCCAGCACAGAAATAATCCCAAAACATTCTACACAAGTATGTAAATACACAAATTTTTAGCTTGTTTTAATTAATCGCCGTTTTCTGAAATGCGCAAATACTATGTTGCATTCTGAGCACTGCATTAGCGTAAACCAGTGGTTCCCAACCCTGGTCCTGGAGGCACCCCGACATTGCACATTTTGCATGTCTCCTTAATCAAACACACCCCATTCAGGTCATCAGCTCATTAGTAGAGACTCCAAGACTGGTTCCCACGTAAACTACAGTGAGATTGGTCTTTTAGGTGAACTACTGAGATGGCGAAGAGAATCTCATTGAGCAAGTCAATGTATGTAATTAGCTTTCTGTTTTTTTTTTTTCAAAAAGTAACTATCGCCCCCCTTAAGTCCCGAAGACTGCATGAATGCAAGAGTGCGTGTTTATATACAACTGGGACCATGTGTTTGCAACACATTGGCCAAGCGTTTGCATACTTGCATAGAGTATGTATCTGGCGATAATGTTTAAAGTTCGAATGGACCCTCTTTTGCGTCAGCCTTGGACATGAGGATAGCACAACGGTAAATACAAGGTCGGGAAAACAACTTGTGTTTGGACTTATCTCTCAAGCTCCAATTAGTCTACGTTTATTTCATATTTACAATATACAAAAAAAAAAGAGAACAGTAAACTACCATTTTGACCAGTCCTTTTCTGTTTACATATCAAAACTGGGTATGGTTTGACCTTCTCGTTCTTTTCTCACTTTATGTGAGGGGCTTTACCTATAAACACATTCATGAGGAATACTAACGGGTTCATAATTAATACAAGAAACACTCATAAATGTAGACATCCACAGGTTTATCCCGACACTTTTTGCACTTCAGGCACTTCTCACCACGGTCCGGTGAAACCCAACACTTGTAACCCGTACGCTGCTACTCTTTAGGTCCTTACGTAATGTGCAAAACAATCTCAAAACACTCGTTTCATCCTGAAATGTGGAGCGGTGCCATTTTTCTGTTTTTCCATCCGCGTCAACCTGTGGTTTACGTTTATCAGTGATTCGTGTCTGCATTATGAAAACATTACTTCCAACCTGTGAAAGAGTTGGGCCCCTCAACTGCTCTTCTCTGTAGGAAATTTATTGAATCGCATTAGGTAAAACCAAAGGCTTAAAGTGACGTTTCTGAAGAAGCAGCAATTGCATGTCCTGCAAAAAACCTTCACAGAACTGTGTTAACAGTTTTTACAATACCAACCTACCTTTTCATCACCCCAGCCTTTCCAATAACCCACATGTCTCTTATGCCTCATGTTAAATTAACTTGAATATTAGGAAATAGACGAATATGCAGTTGACAATAATACCATCCGAACAGGCAGACCTTAATAAAACATTACTGTTTCAACAGCATGACCTTTAGAGATTATATGTATGCTCTAGGAGCTCAAATATAACGCTTTAACAATGTGAAATGCTTGATATGAATTAGATCTTACCAAGAGCACACTAAAAGTACAGCTATACAAAAGATTGTACATTTATTTAGAGAACTACGAGTTTACGAGAGCTAGAGCTTGGGGAAAAAAGCCTATTTTTAAAGCACGATCACAGCTAGCTCCAGTTCGACAAATAGGTTTTCTTCTCTTTGACGTGCTACAACTTTTAGTCTGTACAACACAATCAGGCGTGTTTAAACTCAGACGTCGCTCTTAACGGGGGTTGTGGGAACCACCCAAACCATCGTCTTCCTCTACGGGACGCCTCAGGACTGAGCGTGCAAACCACCGAACAAAAAAAAAAAACATCGACACATTACAGAACGGTGACCGACACGTAGAGAAAAGAAACACTTCAGTTTGGCTGGATACGACTGCGTTACATGTAGACTACACGGAAGCTTTTTTTCCCCCTCAGAGATGACTGACAAGAAAAAGAAAAGAAAAAGGTAAAGTGAAACATCTGCATAGAGTGGTTGTGTGTGTGCCGTTGAAAATGTGTGTGTGTGTGTATATTTCCTTTAAATGTGTGTGTAGGATCCCGTTGACTCGAGGCCAGGTGACAGGAGTTGTGTGGAGGCAGATGGCGCTTTAGACTATTTGTACGGACGCAGGAAGGCGGAGACTTTGCTGTGGATGAGGCGTATGAAGGAACGCGGGAGCATCTCTGTGGAGTCCCGAGTTGAGTACTTGTAGTAATTGTTTGGGTGAGCCAGCACGTCGAACAGAGTTTTAATCAGTTTTTTATCCTGGCGAGAAACAAAAAGGAGTGAAATGGAATGAGACCTGGAATAAACTGTGTCATCATGCATGGTCATTGCATGGAAACAAGCAGTTTAAAATCTTCCTATTACTTGAAATACAGTTTAAGCAAAAATCACACTTGGAGCAAATTACGGGTTTTCGATAAAGAGATGTAGTAAATGAGACTTGTGTCTTGGAAAACACATAAAACGTATCTTAACGCATTCATTGCTGTTATTGCAAAGTTAGACTTTCATTACCCTGCAAATAACATTTTTTTTTCTTGTTTTCCAGTATAAATATCTAAACATTCTTAACTGAAGATACTTTAAAATGAAAAGCGAAAAACTAAATTATTTCCTAAAAAAAAAAAATGTATCTAAATTAAGTGAGCTTAAAACGAGAAATACATCTGCAAGTGGGGACAGAAAAGTAAACTTGTTTCAAGGGGAAAACTTATTTTTCTTACCCATTGGCAGATACTTTTTCTTGTTTTCAACAAAATTTTGATACATTTTTCAGAACACAAGACTTACATCTTAAAGGCACAATATGTAATTTTTGCCACTAGAGGGCGCGTATTCAAAATAACCAAAGAGACAAAGGCGTAGTTTGATGACGCTGTGACTGAGTGTGGAATCATGGTACATATAATTACATATTGTGCCTTTAAGTCATTTTACTTCAAAATAATGTATCTTAAGAATGTTTAGATATTTGTATTGGAAAACAAAAAAAAGTCAATGCAAAACTGACCTTAAGTATTTCTTGATGGTTTTCAGAGGCGTAAAGTCTTCCATCTCTTACAATGTCTTCAACCAGTTGCTCATAGTCTTCTAAATACAAGAAAATCAAAACACTTTAGTGACAAAGAAAGTCAAGAATGAATTGAAACCCATCACAAATCTTTCTCCTGAGAATTTTTAGCATTATTTTTTATATACAGGTGCATCTCAATAAATTAGAATGTCGTGGAAAAGTTCATTTATTTCAGTAATTCAACTCAAATTGTGAAACTCGTGTATTAAATAAATTCAGTGCACACAGACTGAAGTAGTTTAAGTCTTTGGTTCTTTTAATTGTGAAGAACCAAAGACTTAAACTACTTCAGTCTGTGTGCATTGAATTTATTTAATACACGAGTTTCACAATTTGAGTTGAATTACTGAAATAAATGAACTTTTCCACGACATTCTAATTTATTGAGATGCACCTGTACATATATACACATACATACATATACACACACACACACAAATAAATGTTTATAGACTAGGGCTGATCTCGAGACTGTACCATCGTAAGTGACGTATGGAATCTGGAATCCGCGAGCGCTGTTTACATCGTTGGATTTGAAGTTGATCCAGAGGCGGCGCGATCGGGCTGTAAATGCAATCGGTCTCTCATACGTCTGACATGTTTCATAAGTGGTGATAGAGGTCGCTGACCCTAAGAAAAGAAAATGTCAGCATTCAAATCAAAGCAAACCTATTTTTAGAAGTAAACTATCACCACTAACATGGAGAGACTGCAGACACCCTGGAAAGTCAATATTTTATTACACTAATATCAAACCTAGACTGCTGTCCAAAAGTTTGGGTTTTTAGTGTTTTTTAAAGATGTTTCTTATGCTCATCAAGGCTGTACATATTTGATCAAAATCATATGAAATATTACAAATTAAAATAACGGTTTAATATTATAATTTATTCCTGATGCAAAGCAGAATTGTCATCATTACTCCAGTCTTCAGTGTCACATGATTCTTCAGAAATCATTAGGCTTTGTCGCAAAGATCAGCTGCCGCCTGACAAAAGCAATGCATTCTGGTTAGAAAATTTGTCCGACTTTGATTGGCGCTGCAGCAGCCTTGCGATCACATGTGTCATCAAAGTACTGCGAGAGCAAAACGAGACCAGCCGCCGAGGTCAGGCACTGCAGTTGCTCAAAATCGGCTGCGAGAGCCTTGATGACGACACGCTTTATTCTCATTGGTCAGATTCTGTGATGACAAGCACGACGTGTTGCGTGCTTATTCTAACAATTCAATTCCAATAATGCTCACAAATCAGTGTAGTCGCACTGTTATATTGAGTCACGTTTATCAAAAAGCACTGATAAAAGCATATATACCCAAGAAAATTTCATCATGAACATACATGAACAACAAATATCACATTAAACCACAGAAATTCCAAAATGACATTTCCCTTACATTCAACTTCCAAAAGTGCATTCATCTTTGCCATGTTACATTCATTTAGTTGACTAGTGCTAAACGCTGTATTAACAAAAACATAAATGGCATTAATAAAAACAAGCTACGCAATATCGCGTTCATAATCGACTGCGACTCACCTGCAATTATGAACGCGATATTGCAGTGATGAGTGATCTACGGCTCTGTGTATTAAATGCCGCTCCATCTGAAAGCACGTGATGGAGATTTACTATTAATCACGAGATGCGCATGACAATCACATGTGATTTATCGTGCAGCCCTAAGTTTGTTTGTTGATCACAAAGTACAAAATAGATGAGGAAAACTAGGATGCCGTGTGTATTCAAAGCACCGCCATTACGGTCTACAGTGCGTGAATGGTGCGCTGTGATTGGTTGTTACTGTTTACCGTGCGTGGAATGGTGCGCTGTGATTGGTTGAGCGGATATATCGCATTCTGCAGAGAAGGGAGACTGGCGTTTGTTGCGGTTTGGAAAGAAAGGGAGAAAACATGACAGAATAACTCGGCGGATATCGCATTATGCGTAAAATTTAAAATTGATTTTTCAATACCGACCAGATACAATACTCAATTTAAAAAAAAATTGCATTTATCGCGTTTTGGAACCAAACTCTTCATATGTTTATGTTGAAATTTATTCATGAACAGATGGTGCTATATTAAGCAGTATATAAAAAGTGCTTGTGTTGCTCATGAAAACGTTTCTGAAACGTCTGTGTATTTGACAAATATTGCATATATTTCACTTCCTCTGTGATAGAGTATGCAAACACTGTGACAGCGTGGAGCAGAAAGTGTCCGACTTGACGCCTCTGCTTTTAATTTCGCCCCAACTGCAAGCGGCTACTCTCTCCAGCCGGTGGCAGACTAGTGTAGTTCATCTCGAACAAGCCTATTCTGATTTATTAGCAATATGCTGATTTATTATTAATGTTGCAAACAGTTGTGCTGCTCAATATTTTTTGGAACCTGTGATACTTTTTTCAGGATTCTTTGATGAATAAAAAGTTAAAAAGAACAGCAATTTATTCAAAATCACAGGTTTAAAAAAAATATTAAGCAGCAAAAACGGTTTCCAACATTGATAATAAATCAGCATATTAGAATGATATCTGAAGGATCATGTGACACTGAAGACTGAAGTAATAATGCTGAAAATTCAGCTTTGCATCACAGGAATAAATTATGTTTGAAAGTATATTAAAATAGTAAACCATTATTTGAAATTGCAATAATATTTTATAATATTACTGTTTTCGTCTGTATTTTTGAAATAAATGCAACTTTGATGAGCATAAGAGACTTCTTTAAAAAGCATTACAAATCTTTCTGATCTCAAACTTTTGAACGGTAGGGTACTTTAACGCTAGCTTGCTATTTTAAGCATGTTGTACTGAAAGTGTGAAATCATTTTTGACAGTTGATTTGAAGGTTAAGCCTAGCAGAGAACAAAAACGTACCGTTCTTCCTCATTACTAGGACATCTCCACACTCATCCTCAGACGGGAGGAAGATCTCTGGAACCACGATCAGAATCTTGCGTTTGTGTGGAGGGTTGATCGTCCAGATACACTCTACATTGGCTGGGTAGTTTCCTGGATAGTTGGGGGACTCGATGTACCCGATGAACTCGCCTATTTCACCCCCACATTCCCGATCTGAACACACCACAAACAAACAAGATAACATTATGGTAAAATGGAACATTTCTAGACCTGGATAACTTTTTATTCTTTAAATGCTTTTTATTCCCAGTGCCAAAATACAGGTTTATTCTTTATAAAACGCATCAGTTCACTCAAAATGCAATTTGCTGATCTGATATTGCTTTTATTTCCAGATTTCAAATTAGCCTGATTAATCGACTGATTAGAAGTTGCGCTTAAGAATGAATGGACTCACTCTTGCATTGAGACACACTGATGGCCCCGTCGAAGTCTGTGGTGGTGTTTCCAGGACAGGAAATGCAGTAGTTTTGTCTGAACTCAGCCTGGTAGGTTCCATGAGGACAGCGGATGCAACGATGAACTGAGGTGTTATAATAGTGACCTGGAGAACACAACACTACACACACAAACACCAATATCACATGAGCTGATTTAGCATGAAGCTTCCTTCGCACACAAGAGTCTGAGGCCCAGATTTACTGAACAGGACAAATTAACGCGAGATAGCAATTCTATTAAAGTGCGATGGAAGTGGAAAGAACTGCAGTTGATCAACGTGCAAATGAAAGAATACAGATGCAGCTGGATCATTTCCGTAATTATCAAAGCAATCTACAAAAAGCAGCGCAAATTAGCTTAAGGTCGCAAACAAGCAGAGTTGATGGTAATCAGGTGTGAGTAATCTACAAAACACAGGCACAAAATGGGTTAAGACATGCTTTATTTGGGTCGTTAAATAATGGCACAAATATCAGTAAACTGACTACCGCAACCCTTATGCCGAGTTCACACTGCACGATTTTCAAAGACGTCGCATCCATGAAATTTGCAATAATGGGGATTTAAAGGCACCCAAAAATGAAAATAGTCATTATTTACTCATCTTCAATTTAGGCCTTTTTGTACATATAAACATGCGCACACAGAGCAAATCACATATTGTGAACGAGATGCACACACGCTTATGTGTTTACCATATGTGCATGCTTGTGTGTAGATCATTGTTTAGATCAGGGGTGGTGAACTCCGGTCCTGGAGGGTTCAGCTCCAACCCTAAAAAACTCACCTGCCTGTAGCTTCCTAGTAACCCTTCAGACCTTGATTAGCTTGTTCAGGTGTGTTTGATTAGGGTTGAAGCAAAACTCTGCAGGGACCACTGGTCCGCAAACTACGTTTCATAGAACTCCTCCCCGAACTTCCCGCTGCCCTGTATCTTGGTCTCTCATTGGCTGTAGGTCATCGCCGATGTGTTTTTCAGTCAGAAATCATTGCACACAGCGTGATTGTGAATCGCCGACAGCTCCAGATATTTAGCATGCCAAGTTTACCATATGTGCATGCTTGTGTGTAGATCATTGTTTAGATCAGGGGTGGTGAACTCCGGTCCTGGAGGGTTCAGCTCCAACCCTAAAAAACTCACCTGCCTGTAGCTTCCTAGTAACCCTTCAGACCTTGATTAGCTTGTTCAGGTGTGTTTGATTAGGGTTGAAGCAAAACTCTGCAGGGACCGATGTTCGCCACCCCTGGTTTAGATCGTCATATAAAGTGCTCGTACAAAGACTTGGATTATGTGGATTCGTTTTACCATGCCTTCACAACCTTAAAGTGCCCCTATTATGCCATTTCTAATATTACCTTTCATGCAGTGTGTAATGTAGCTGTATGTGAATGTAAACAATCTGCAGAGTTGTAAAGCCAAAAGTGCATGATAAATAAAGTTATTGTCTTCCAAAATAAAGAATTGGCTCTATAAGTATGATAAATAATAGATGTTTATATTTTCTATCGAGCGTTAAAAATGTGGAACTATGGCAATGGGAGTATCATTTCTGACACATGCTGTACGCGATAGACCAATCACAACAGACTGGGCCATCCAACCAATCAGAGCAGAGTAGGCTCAGGGAAAGGAGAGGTTTAGAGCAGGGCTGCAACAACTAATCAATAAAATCGATAATAATCGATAATGAACATTATCGACAACGAATGTCATTATTGATTAGTTGCGTCTACCCACCATGCACAGAAAACTTATGCCAGTCGCATCAAATTATACCACTGAATAACGCATTCTATGGACGAAATGAATTTAATAGTGGAAGAAACAGAGTGAGTTGCTTCAGGAAAGGTGAATGATGCAAGCTGCCCAAAACATGCGAATGCTTTATTTTAAAATTCAAACTAATGCAGTAGCGTAATGTTTAACATTGCTCATCCTGTCAGGCGCTTTGACAGATGCATGTATTTAATGTGTGAAATGATTCCTCAGTGCAAAACCTTCAGTTTACGGTTATATCATTATCTGTAAATGTTACATATTCATGCAAGTGTTTTTATTTTGCATTAAGGCTCATCCTGACAGTTAAACTTCAGAATCTACTGAACGAGCGGCGGCGCTTCAAACAGACTGAATGCAGTAGAGAGGGAGAAAATTAATATGCTGCGCAAAAATATTCATTTTGCTGAAATATCTGTTATTGGATTTTACATTAAGGTTTAAAAGTCAACATGTAATTCAAGAATTTTATGATAGTAACTGTAAAGGGTTAACAGCGTGTAATTGAATATATATTTAAAACGTTCCTTACATTTACAGAATAAAGAAATTACAGTAACAGGTTAATGTATTCAGAGTGAATTTGTGTGTTGACGCAGAACATTTCTCTCATCTGTTAACACTGAGTTTGTGTTTTTCTTTATTATCTTCATAACCTTGCATGATTCATTTACATTTTCATTACTCTCCTCCCAGAATATTTCAAATTTTTATTTAACTTATATGATATATATATATACCATATATACATATATGATATAGTAAAATAACTAAAATTTACATAAAAATTAACAAAATACATACAAATATTTAAGAAAAACGAATAAAATGACAAAACAACGGAATTACTGAAACGTTAACTAAAAAGAAAAGAAAAGATAAAAACTAATTTGAAATATTACTAAAAACCTATAATAGTATCTCAATTATGCCAAAATTACACTGGTGTAAACAACATACAAATTGTGCACCATGTTTTGCTCCAAACATTATTTTGTCCCCACTGTCTAGCTTTATGTAAATGCACTGCACTGTAGAGTCTCAAAATGTCTGACCTTTGACCTCACAGTCATTAAAGGAGCTGGCGCCCTCTCTTTTGGTACCGAGCCCACCTCCACAGGGGAAACAGAGTGTTCGTCCTGGGTCGGGCTGGTACGTTCCCACCGGACACGGCTGACAGGGCTTGAACCCGTCGCTGGAGAAATAACCAGGCGGACATTGACCTATAAACAGACAACAAATGACCAAGAAAGGTTAAAAGTGTACTCTTAAGAGAAAAATGAAGAAGTGCCTAGTGCAGCAAACATTTACATCTATTACAAGTAGAAGGCACACTGATTAAGTCTAGTTACCTGCACATGACGTGATGTTGCGGGCCCCTACTGGGCCATGGCGGTCTCCTCCAGGACAAAGGTCACAGGCCAGCTGACCTTCACGTTCCTGGAATGTTCCAGGTGGGCACTGGGCGCAGCGTTCCTGCTCACCATGGTAGTATGACCCAGGCAAACATCTGACTAAGAGAGAGCAGCCAGCAGGGGGCAGCAGTGAGGAAGCTGAAATTCTGAGCTCTTTTTTGTTTTTTTTGACAGATGCAACTTTGAAATTCGACTCTAAAGACCTTGTGGTTTTAAGCGATCAATGTAAAATGCTATAATTCGTAACCCAAGACTTGAAAAATTGTGAACTTTGCTTTAGTTGGTTTTGTTTCCATTGCATTTGTTGTCAGTGCTTCCCAATTCCTTCTTATAAATGTTTGCAAGCAATCTCAGATAACTATCATTGTCAAAGAATAGCAATGGCATAACGTCTGTTCATTTTACACATTTTGCATCACTTCTGCATAAAAAACCAGACAAGCTTAGGCGATCAGAGTCCAAGCCAAATCTCTTTCAGCAACATTTTTCTATACGCTGCAGGTTCGTTTTATGAACCTTATTGCAGGACAATTTATTTCATATTTCACATATTTTATTTATATAAAATATATCATTTCTAGGTATTTCTTGGGAAAAACTGCTATGGAATATAAAAGCAAACAACACATTTTCACAGAAAAAAAGGGGTGAACAGTTATCAGCGTCATAATAATCTCAAAAAAGTAGACCTAAAACTTTTATTCATGAGTCGCTAATTTAGAGTCTCAGCTAAATAGCCTACAAGTCAACCGTTTTGTGACTATGCAAGTCCCAGACCATCTCTAGTAGATGCTCTCGTTCGTTCTTAACAGTTGGCACTTTGTTTAAAGATAGCTCTCTTGCATCAAGTTGCAGTGGAGAAGGGGGTTAATATAAAACAAACCCCACTCACTCTTCCGTTCTTACCACAGCGGCCGCTGTCTTTTTCTCTGCCCGGTCCACAGTTCTCCTGCCTCAGTCCAGCTTGTGGGATCTTCTGTGCCACCTCGTACTCCAATCCAGCCACACGGATGAGGAAACGCTCCTGGTTAATGGATTTTTTCAGGGCTTTAATGTATGACTTCATCTGCTGCTCCATGCGCTGCCTTTGACACATCATGTTACAGTTCCCTACAGGAGAACAAGATGAACGTCATGACCTTCATGCACCGCATTTCCACGCTCATCCTGCATTTTCTGTAGGTAGGTAGGAAGTTTGTTTTAGGTGGAGGATGTCAGACTCACCAGTGGCGTCTCCTGGCTTGACCTCAGCCTCCAGCTCCAGAGTGATGCGCGTGACCTCTTTGCTTGATGGGTTACGTGCCCGACGACCTTTGGCCTTCTTAGACGAGTCGCACTTCAGGTTAACGAACGTGACCAGGCAGTTGTTGCACGGTTGGCCACCTGGAAATCAAGTTATTATTCACACAAAGAGTAGTGTAGTGTATTATCTCTTTTAGTGTAGGGATTTAAACTGTCCTTTGTCCATTTGTCTTTAAACTCTCCATTTAAACTGTGCTTTATAACTTTTTTTGCACATACTATATAGATATATTCACCATACAGTATGTTTATAGCATTTAGTTGGCACATCTGTTTGAAGGATAGCATTAGGCAGCATGTGGAATAGTGTATTTTGTCAATAAAAAAAGACAGGCTTTTTATCAGATTAATCGAAAAATATAATCGGCCAACTAATCGATTATCAAAATAATCGTTAGTTGCAGCCCTAGTTTAGAAAGACTGAATATTAGAACTGCTTCGAAACCTCAAAGGTTTCATTAAAAATGTTAGGAATATTTTGAATGTTAACCAAAGTCTTATGGGTTTGGGATGAAGTAAGTGTGAGTAAATGATAACAGAATTTTCATTTTTGGGTAAACTATCCCTTATCCCAATTATTGCTGTCTAAGTAGCAAAACGAGAATGCAGCTCCCTCAGCAAACAGTCCTATGACCTTATTCCACAACAGGGACCATCAAAATGACATGGTACCCTTCATTTCCTGGCCCCTATGACCTCTGACCTGGCCCGATCTGTCTGCCGTTGTCCTCTGCCCTCCCTTTATGCTTTGGGTGCAGGTGGCATTTGGCATTCTTGATCCGGAAGGACACCGTCTGCTTCACTGGAGGAGCCTGAGTCTCTACAACCAAACAAAGAGGCCTTGACATGCAGCTCAACATGATTCATATAAAGTCCTTGCTGACAACTACTAGTTAACTGCATTAATTCACAGCTGCTGGCTTGCTACATGCAACACGCTTGATTGAGAAAACAAAACCAGCTGGGCTGTTTGTGAACATTTAAAGCAGATTCATGTTAGCTTTATGCTCACTCTGAACACTTATGAGGAACAGCAATTTGAGATTATAGTGTGCCGTGACAGGCATCCTAATGTGAAACAAGTTTGACATCAAAACAAACATCAGGCATGGTAAATAAGTTTCTAATTTGCCAAGCGCATCAAGTGATCATGTAATTGGACAGCTGCGATGTATCGGTCATTATGTTTTTTGGAATCATTGACTGCAGCTGTTCAAAAGAAACGTCTCATCGCTTTCCAGGTTCTGTTTGCCGGCACTTTCAACAAATAGGGTACAAAATAGGACCTTAAATGTCTTAGAAAATTAAGTCTTTTTCAACAAATGATCAGTGAAATTGAGGGGCTTAGCATTAAGAAAATGTTTATCGTTAACCACAGGAGATCAAATTAAAATATAGCTGCAAGCAGCGATGGCGGGCCCAAGCCATCAGCGCAATATTATTCACACAAAGAGGGCACTTAAATGTAATTGTTTCACATTTTTTGGAAAGACACTATTAGATTGTCAACTTACTAACTCTTATAAATATACACTCTAAAAAATGCTGGGTTAAATATAACCCAGTGCTGGGTAAAATAGGGACAAACCCAGCAATTGGGTTGTTTTGATGTCTTAGAAAATTAAGTCTTTTTCAACAAATGATCAGTGAAATTGAGGGGCTTAGCATTAAGAAAATGTTTATCGTTAACCACAGGAGATCAAATTAAAATATAGCTGCAAGCAGCGATGGCGGGCCCAAGCCATCAGCGCAAACGCCACCCCGGTGGCATCTGGAGAATGGTGCACAGTGGGCACATGCATTTACAGTAACCCTCTGGCAGGCTGGTTTTAAGGGATACAGAAATCAAAGGGTTAATCCAAACCATTAAGACTGTGAAACACACACACACACACACACACAAATATATAAAACTTTGATAATACTTTACAATAAGGTTTCAGTTATTAACATTAACTATATAAATTAACATGAACAATAATTATATAGCATTTATTAATGTTAGTTAATATTAAGTTCAAAACTAAAACATTATTAATTTAAAGCTTTATCTGTTAACATTAGTTAATGCAATGTGAATTAACATGAACATTTTGATTAACTAACATCAACAACCATTAATAAATGCTGCAAAAATATATTGTGCATTGATGGTTCTTGTCAGTTAATGCATTTACTAATGTTAACAAATGAGACATTATTGTGAAGTGTTACCAAACCTTTAATTATGTATAAGCATTTTTTAACGATTTTATTGATCTATAAGCATTTGTGAAATATTTTTGCCTGCATTACAGCTTAGTCTTCATGACTGAACTGATTGGCAGTTTTTAATTTTCTGTCACTCCCCTGAGCATTTTAAATATATGAAACTAAGCATGTTTCCAACGAATGACTTGTTCTCCATATGTAAAAAGTTTTGAAGAGTTTGGATAATGCACTTTAAAGATATCAGAAAATTCAGATGAATGTCATGTCACAGGATGTTATAGGTCAGAATCAAATGAGTGTCAAATAATTTTCTGCAGCATAAAAATTTATAAATCCACGCGTTTGTATCTTTAGATCTTTTTATGTTGTAATTAACATAATTATTAACCTAATTGTATAAAATTATATTGTCAGTGCCCTACAAATTAAATGGTTCTAGGACTTTTTTTCCCCCTAAAACTGACAGAAAAGGATAAGGCCTAAGAGATTTCTTAAGCTGTAATGGAAAAAATAAAAAATAACTGATACATTTTTTCTGGTGAATAAAGATGTTTAAAAGTCTCTCTCTCTCTCCCACACAAACCCCCACACTCAACACACACACACAGAGAGGTAGAGTGAGATCAGATGATTTTTACATTATTCTGATGAAGTTTGAAGCAAATCGAGTAAAAATAAGATGCTGAATTCAAAGCATTTTGAAAAAGACACACTTCCTGCTGCCAATTGGTGGCGCTATAACTTTGACTCATAATAGTCACATCTATGATATCTGCATCATACAACGAACAAACCACTGAAGTTTGATCAAAATCAGACAATGTATGTGGAAGTTATTAGACGCTTCCTGTTTCTCATTTCTCGCCATAACATCATCGCCTCGCCACGGCCAAACTGTTCGAGATATCAAAAATCCCTTCGCAATTTAGCATCCCCAATGTCTTGAGATCATGTTCACTGAGTTTGGTGGCAATCGGGTAAAAAACCTATGACGAGTATATCAAATTCCACAGCATGAGCTTTTTACACAGCCCTGAATAGCCAACTTCCTGTTGGGCGGAGCCTATG